CCTTTTTCCGGGAAACAAGAGATGAATGCCTGATTAAATAAAAAGTAAGGGTATTTTTTGCAAAAGTACATGGCACATCAGCACTTGACAGGCGGGCCCCAATGTTTAGACACACCGTTAATACACTGTTATATGCAGTTTAGACTATTTTGTAACAGACTGCCCTAAATATAATACTGACTTGTAAAAAATACGAAAAACGGTATCATCTGCACGCACTGCCACAATTGTGGTATCTCCGTGCAATTAACTCAAATGGAGGAGATGTTGGTGGAGGTACTGGCAGGCGAGCCGCCGGAGGTGCGGTCTCCATGGTTGTTGCCCATGGCGTGCAGGCGGTTGAGGTCAGTCGTGGCGGCGGTCGGCGTCGATCCAGCAGCTTGGCAGAAGCTGTTGCTGACTGATATATTTGGTATTATATATGAAGCAATTGTAATCTTCAAGCACTAAGTTACTCATTAACAAAAACTGACTAAAGATAAGTCATGGCTTTTTGTTCATTTACTGACTGATGAGTAGCATTTATGAACATTTCCGACTTGAATTAAACAGGGAGAGACCGAACTTATTCGTTCATGGATTTGAATCAAAAAGGGAGCAAATAGAGAATTAAATAGGGATTGGCAAACATTGGACTCATAATATATAAAGTATAAGCAATGCCCACCTTACAGAAATTGGTTGGATGCTCAGATTAAACTCAAAAAAGTACAGGGAACTTTAGTACACGCCCAGGTTACACGGATCGATTTGCTACCTTCCTCGCTAGGTTTCCATCCCTCTCGGTCTTTTCTTTGATACTAGCTACTACTGTTGTCACGGACTGAAGCCGTACGTGAGAGACCACGGGCAGGTGAATTAATAAGACAACTAAAGCATGCTTACGAGGTGGCTTATCAGGTTCTGAGCTCAAAGGAGGAAGTTTCTGCATTACTCTCAGAAAACGAACTTGTGAGTAACCATTTGAGTACACTGCAGCAGGACTACAACGTGCTTGTTAGGAATAAGAAAGGGGAGGAAGCACAAGATCAAAAGTTTCAGCAGGGTATAGATGATCTTATGGTGTTGGTCCAAAAGACAAACCATGAGCTTGAAAGATCGCGAGCAGAAGCTGCTCATAGTGCAATGCAACAGGCAGCAGAGTGTAGATGTTCTTAAGGTGAAGGATGATGCAATTGGCAGATTGCAAGCACAGGCTATTTCTTCCGAAAAGAAGCCATAGAAAGCTCTAAAGTTTAAGGATAATGAAATTGGCAAATTGGCCGAAAATAACGTATTGCCAAATGGTAAACTTAAGTGGACTGTGGATGGTCTTAAGCTGTCAGAAATCCAAAGACTTAAAGGTGCGCAATATGAAACTAATCAAAAGTGCATGCGTGTCTCTTCGACAGCTAATGTACGTATCACGTTGCAATTTTATGCCTAGGTTCACACTGAACCTTGTTTTCTTTGTTTATTGAGAAAAGTCCACTTTGCAACCCTCAACTAACCACACAGTTTAAGATACCCCCTCAACTCCAAAACCAGTCATTCTACACCCTCAACTTTTCATACCATTCAAAAGACCCCCCCCCCCTCCTGACCCGCTAGAAGCTGTTTTTTTCACATGGGGCCTGTTTTGACTAGCAGACCGTGTTGTTTGCATTGCCACGTCACTTTGGTGATTTTTTTGGCTTCCAGGACGTGCGTGCCATATTCGGAGGGGCGCTTATAGGCGCCGGTGCGCCGGCCCAAATTTGGGCCGGTCAGCGCGTAGCCGCTCGATCTGTTTATGCCCAGCCGCTGGATGCGGCATCCTCTGGACGTACCGCTTCGTCCTTATGCCTCCTCTCGTGCGTTGACCAACAGCCCGCGTCCATGGCGGATCGCGCTTGCCGCCGCCCGCGCCCTTGCCGCCGGTTGCCGCCCCTCGCCGGTCCCCGCCCTTGCCGCCGGTTGCCGCCCCTCGCCGCCGGTTGCCGCCCCTCGCCGTCGTCGTCTCCGGTGTTTCTCGCCGACTCTGGAGCCATGCATGGATGTAGCAAAAAACTTCCCTAGTCGTAGCAAAACGCGAAGGCGGTCGCAACAAAAAATGTCACTTCCAGCACAATTAAATGATAGTTCCAGCAAAAAAAGCTCAGCAGCAGAAAACCATGGCTCAAAGCCAACAGCAGTAGTAGCAAATCTTTATTTTAGTTCCAGCAAAACCAAAAACAGTGGAAGCAAAAATGCAAAAAAAGGAGCCTTTGTGGAAGGATGTTCTAGCAAAATCAAAGACACCAGTGGTAGCAAAAATTAAAACTGGTTGTATCAAATTAAAACACCATTTGTAGCAAAGTAGCAAAATTGGGCGTTCTTCCAGCAAAAAGCGAATGCGGCAGTTGTAACAAAAATTGAAGCTGGTTCCAGCAAATCAAAACACCAGTTGTAACAAAATGCAAAGAAATTGGCGTCGGTGGTAGCAAACCAAAGTGCCGATGGTAGCAAAAATTAGTGCTGGTTCCAGCACCGCCATGAGCCGGTTCCAGCAATGGGCGTCATTGAAGTTGAACCACCGGTGGACACTCCTGTCCACGGCGCCGAAGGCTTCTCCCGTCCACAACACCGGTCGACGCCCCGTTGTAGCACCGGTGTTGAAGCTTCGCGGCAGTTGTCGTTGGACAGTCATCGCAGCCCCGCCTGCTTGTGGAAGCGCTGGCGGCTTGAGGTGGAAGGAGGGGGAGAGGTGGGGAGCCCCAATGGTGAGGGAGGCGGAGGAAGGAGAGGGAGAGGTGGGCAGCACCGATGGGGAGGGGAGCTGGAAGAAGGAGAAGGAGTGGTGGGTAGCAGCGGTGGAGAATTGTGGCCAAGAACGCTCTAGATCGAAGGGAAGAAGATAAGGGAAAGGGGCAGAGCGGTGCGGGGCCCCACGAGACGCGGGGGCGACCGGCGCAATTTTGAGCCGGTGCGCCGGCTGTAAACACTTACCTATTCGGAGGGGAGCGCCAACACGGATGTATACCAAAAAAGCAATAAAAAGATTAACGGGAGCGTGTCGCTCATCGTCGTGTTCTCACATGTTTGTTTCATCGTGTCGTGCCTCGTGCGTACTTGAAGCTAGCCTCACAAAGCATACACCTGCCTACTTGCTAGTAATACTTGTATACGTGCGTGTGCTAGCCAGCATCAGGAATCGATCTAGTCTAGCTACTTAAGGAATCAGCTAGCTTGGTTCGTGTCTGGTGCATCTCGCCGTAGACGAAGCTGCAGTCGGAGTAGGCCACGGCCGACGGCGTGGCGCTTGAACACGCCGAACACTGCCACCCGCCTGAGGATCCTTCTGCTCGTCTCCAGCAACAGCGACCTGATCTCCATGTCAGCGATCAGCTCCGCCATGTCCCCGGCGAACCAGTTCGCATGCAGCGTCAAAACCCGTCAGCGATCAGCTGCTGGGGACGTCAAAACCAGTCAAGAGGTGATGTGGTGTTGCCCAGTCAACTCTCAATGCAGTCAAAACCGGTCAAAACAATCAAAACCAGTCAAAAGTGAGCACGGGGTTGATTTTTGCCAGATGACAAGTTGAGGGTGTGGGATAACCGGTTTTGGAGTTGAGGGGGGTATTTTAAACTGTATGGTTAATTGAGGGTTGTAATGTGGACTTTTCTTTTGTTTATTTGTTTATCAATGGACAATGTTGCGTACAGTTTAGTAAGTAAATTTTAATCCAAATTTACTGCTTGGATGAGTTATCTAGAAAAGCACTAAAACTACTTGCGAATCCAATGCATCTCTATCAAGATACAACTTAATAGATGTAAAGCTCAATAAAATACACAGAATAACGATGGCATAGGCACACAGCACAAACAGAACCAAGGGTAACTCGTTTTTTTCACAATTAAGGGTAACTCGTTGTGTAATAAAACAGACAATCAGATCCTCTTGACTACAACACAAACAAATTCACTTCAATTTGCCACTCCTCATCCTAGTTCAATTCACGCCACATGGGGCAAGCCTAGGGCATGGTCATAATCACTCTGGCTTCTTGCAGCAACTAAGATGATGAACCGATTCCGGCGGGTTGGTGGCTCGCCACGCGCGGCCACGTCTTCCCTGTCGCAAAATCACTCTGGCGAGACGCCGCCCAACCCCACGTGAGTGACACATGTCGCCGCCGGGCCGCGCACAAATCCACCGGCAGCATCCAGAGCCGCACCAGAGCTCGACCAGACGGGATCAGCGCGCGCCGAGCCGTGCTTACCTACCCTGTGAGGCGACGACCATGTCGTGTGCCGGTCAGGTTGCTTTCGACGGCTTGTTTCTTCCCGCGGACGACGCATCGGAGGACGCACGAGCAAGAGCAGAGATGGATCCATCGAGGACCCGGCGCTTTGGTAGAGCTGATTCGACGGGCATCGTCTAGTCCGCCAAGCCAGCGCGTACGTCAGAGATGGATCCATTATCGCCCTTCACACGTCGCTCTCGCGCGCACCATGTGGATCTCAGTTACCCCAAGTCCCCGACCAAAGCTTGGCCTGGCCTTGTGGGCGGTGACGATGAGCCGGCCGGCGCGGTAAATATCGGCGGTGCCGTACGTACTCACTTCGTATATCGGCAGCGGCCCGAGGCATGATTAGATATAGTGACAGGTGACAGGGACATGGCGTACTTCGCTGTTGCCTTTAAATAAGCTTGGTCTGATCCAGGGGAGTAGAAACGAAGAGGCAGGCGTCGCCTTTCTAGCTAAGCTTAGCTACCTTGAGGAAATGGCCGCGGCGATGGCAATGGTCATCATGCTGGCGGCGCTGGCGATCCTTGCGCCGTCGGCGAGAGGGCTCGACCGCGCCGAGTTCCCGCCCGGGTTCCTCTTCGGCGCCGCCACCTCTTCTTACCAGGTTAGTAACTGGTGGAGCTTGGCCGGCTTCACCGTCGTCGTCGTACTTCTCTCTGAGATGCCATTCGTTCCCAACGTGCTGTGATTTCCGGCATCCAGATCGAGGGCGCGTACCTGGAGGACGGCAAGGGCCTCAGCAACTGGGATGTTTTCACCCACACGCAGTGTAAGAGCATCTTCAGCCGTTCGACCCCTGAGAACGCATAAAAATCGCCCCTTGGGGATGAGCCGGCGATGCAATCGGCGCTGGGGCAGTTTCGCGCCCAGTCGTCGCCCCCAGCTCGCTCCCAAGCGTCGAAATTGATCCATTTTTCAGTCACATTTCGGCGAATAAAGAGTCCATATGGGCGACAATAGGCCCATATTCGACGTGGTTCATCGTTGTTCGGCGTTCAATTATGCACATAAAATTCTTTTATCACATATTTCATCAAAAAATATTAAATACTTTAACAAAATAGTACAACAATAAATAGTTCAATACAAATTATATAGTTCAACAAATAAAAACTCATATTTCATCGCACGTCGCGTCCGGCGTCGCCCTTGAGCCTCCATAGATGCTCTATCAGATCTTGCTGCAGTTGATGATGCACCTGTGGGTCTCGGATCTCCTGACGCATACTGAGATAGGCAGTCCAGGTTGCCGGTAGCTGATGATCAACTTCGGCTAGAGGACCCTGCCTGTAGTATGGTTCACTGTCAAACACTGGGTCTTCTTGCTCGCTCTCGATGATCATGTTGTGCAAGATGACACAACAAGTCATAATCTCCCACATTTGATCTTTCGACCAGGTCTGAGCGGGGTATCGGATAACAGCAAATCGAGATTGGAGCACACCAAATGCCCGCTCGACATCCTTCCTGTAAGCCTCCTGACCCTTCGCAAACCAGGCGTTCTTGCCTCCTGGCACAGGGTTTGAGATCATCTTCACAAATGTCGACCATCTCGGATAGATGCCATCAGCTAGATAATACCCCTTGTTGTAGTGCCGCCCATTGATCTCGAAATTCACCGGAGAAGAATGACCTTCAACAAGCTTGGTAAAGACAGGAGAGCTCTGCAGCATGTTGATGTCATTGTGAGTTTCTGGCATACCAAAGAAGGAGTGACAAATCCAGAGGTCCTGTGTGGCCACCGCCTCAAGCACCACACTGCAACCGCCTTTGGCGCCTTTGTATATCCCCTGCCAAGCAAATGGGCAATTATTCCATTTTCAATGCATGTCGTCGATGCTTCCAAGCATCCTAGGAAATCCTCTTGCTGCATTCTGTGCTAGGATCTGAGCAGTGTCTTCCGCATTGGGTGTTCTCAAGTATTGTGGTCCAAACACTGCCACCACTGCCCGACAGAACTTGTAGAAACACTCTACGCTGGTGGACTCGGCCATGCGTCCATAGTCGTCGAGTGAATCACCGGGAGCTCCATATGCAAGCATCCTCATCGCCGTCGTGCACTTCTGGATGGAGGTGAATCCAAGAACGTCGGTGCAATCCATCTTGCACTTGAAGTAGTTGTCAAACTCCCGGATGGAATTCACAATCCTGAGGAAGAGCTTTCGGCTCATCCGATAACGACGCCGAAATGTTTTCTCGTCGTGAAGTGGAGCATCGGCGAAGTAGTCGGAGTAGAGCATGCAGTAACCTTCGAGACGATGCCGGTTCTTTGCTTTCACCCGCCTAGGCGCCGAGCCACCTCACCGCGGCTTTTCATTGCTTGCCAGCAGCTGGGAGAGGGCGGCGAGCACCATGAGATGCTCTTCTTCCTGGACGTCGGCCTCGGCTTCCTCCTCCAGCAGCGGGGCGAGCGCTTCCTCGTTATCCAAGTCCATCGCCGAGGCAGGCAAGTCGCCGAACACCTTGCGCTCGGTGGGCGTGTACCCACCGCTAAACCGCGCCTCCGCGGTCGGAAACGGCGGCCGGAAACGCCCAGGTGCTGTTGGAGGGGCTGCCGCGGCGAAGCGCTGCTATTTTTTCGGCGGGGAATGGCTATCTAGCGGTGTAGGGCGGGCGGCGGCGCCGGGATATAGCTACTGGTGGCCGAGGGCGCGGGGGGTGGGAGGCGAGTCGGGGAAGAAAACCTTAACTTTTTTCCCTGACGGTGTGGGCCAGCCACGCTTTTTCCTTGCGCCAGAGCCCCTAACTGTTCCCCAGTGCGCCGGGTTCGGCCTGTGACCGCCAGGCGGAAAAAGGGCCGAACCGACAATTTTTGGCGTCCTAAAGACGCGACTGGTGCGTTTTTTCCACGCCGGCACCGAAAAAGTGGCTTGAGAGAGCCTGTTGGGGCGCGGCTGAAGATGCTCTAAGCGATCATCTCCCCCATGGTTTTCTTCTTTCTTGCCTTTCTCCGATTCATCCCTGTTGCTTAGGACAAAGCTCAAACTGATGCTTACGCTCTCCGAAGCAGAAAGATATCAGATGGCGATAGCTCATAAGGCCGTAAATAACAATTCACTGATTAATTTACCATGTACGGTAATCATGAAGCTAGATTACTTCATTGCTGGCAAATTATCAGCAAGATAGAGACATAAGCCAGCCATGTCGTAGTACTGCTAGGGTCCGAAAATGTTAACCTTGAAAGATTCAGGTTTGAGTAGTGAGATCCCTAGGCCGGACATCGGAAAGATACGGAGGCCAGCACCCATTTCACTGTCACCGATGCAGGTGTGCCGGGCAAACACATCGCCTTTTCCTCGAGCTTATAGGATAACTTGGAAAGAAACGGCGTCGCTCTCTGGAGCATTTTCTTTTCTCTTCCAAGTGGGATTTGAATATATCACCTATTCAGTAGGCGTGCGTTCTTATGCGACAGCGATGCCACAACTGCAGCAACAGTCTGCGGATAATAGTGCGAGTGGCCATAGAATTGTTTGCGTTTTATCCGTGTTCTATATGGCAATTTCTGTCGTGCGGATCTGCATATATTCTGAAAGAAGATCAGGTAACGCATCATGTGATCCTCTATTTTAAAAGCTAGGCAAAGCTTCTTTGCTCTCAAAATGTTTTGGTTTGCTACAGCTAGGGAGATCAACGATGGGCGGAACGGGGACGTGGCGGACGACCATTACCACCGTTTCATGGTACAGAGTTGATTAGCCCAACAAGCAATCACAAGTAGTACTTGTCATGTGATTACGCATCTCTTAATTTACTGTGCTTGCCCATGCATGTAACCCTTGACACTACCTTGTTGTTGAGCAGGAAGACGTGGAGATCATGCATGATCTGGGTGTCAAGTGTCAACTCCTACATACTCTCGATCTCATGGGCGAGACTCCTACCAAGTACGCATGCAAAGAAGAACCAGTACACAATTAGCACTAATGAGTTTTTGTGGTTTATTAGTGTTCAGGTTTTATTGCTTAGCTAACTAACTGTCATTGAATTATCGTGTAACGCCCACGATGCGGCTATATCTCCCACGTGTCGAAGCACGACTTAGAGAAATAACCGCATTGTAAGCAATGTCGCAAGTGGGATAATCTTCACACAACCCATGTACTGAATAAGAAAAAAAGTTACATAGTTGGCTTACAATCGCCACGTCACACAATGCATAAACACTACTAGGGAAAACCTTATAGACAGAATCTTAGCAGCAGCGCGGCACAAAAAGAAGCGCTACTGCTAATTAGCAGTAGCGCGGGTTTTTAAACCTCGCTACTACTAAGTTGATAATAGTAGCGCGGGGTTTTAACCCTCGCTACTACTAAGCGGTCTCTACCGTGCCCCCCGACACATGCCATAGTAGTAGCGGGGGGTATAAACCCGCGCTACTACTAAGTTGATAGTAGTAGCGCGGTTTTATACCCCTCGCTACTAATAAGTACGAGGTAGGTGAAGTCGCCATATACTCAGCCGAATCCCCATCTCTCCCAAATCCCTCCTCTCTTCCACCATTCTCTCCTCTCACTTTCCATACGCTCTCACATGGACCTCTTGCCCATGCGCCCATCCATCTCCGTGGCGCCGAAAGAGGCCGCCGCCTCATGCCACCGGCGTCTAGGAGCTCGCCGGTCTTCCACCGACGTCTAGGAGGCCGCCGCCCCGCGCCATCACACTGGAGCACCTCACCACCGGTGACTAGCTCCGCTGCTCCCTACATCACCTTCCTCTCTCCCTCAGTTTTCCTTTCCTCTCTCTCCCTCTGGTTTGACTCACCCTACCATGTTCATGCCCGTGCAGGTCGTCGCCATGGACCACCCGGAGCTATCTGGCATGGTCAGGAAGAGGAGTCCCACGCCGCGGCCTGGCTCTGCCATAGAAACGGGCCCTCTCCAACAGCCACTGCTGGATCTGGTCTTCCGCTGTCCGTTCATGCCTCCTGCGACGCCAAACATCGCTAGATCGAACCACTGCTACCATTGACAACACGCACGGGATCGAGAATTTTTTTTGTTTTTGAAAGTAATAGCAGTAGCGCGGGATATAAGACCCGCTACAGCTAATTAGCAGTAGCGTTGTTTGCAACACACGCTACAGCTAACCATGTATAGCAGTAGCGTGTGTCAACAAGCGCTACTGCTACAAGTTAGCTGTGACGCCGTATCAGTAGCGCGGGCACCCGCGCTACTGATACACCCAAAATCCGCGCTGCTGCTAGGCTTTTCCCTAGTAGTGAAATATAACATTACATTCATCCAGATACAATCAAGGTCCGACTACGGAACCAAAATAAAGACAACCCCAAATGCATAATGTCCCCGATCGACCCAATTGGGCTCCACTACTGATCGTCTGGAAAGGAAACGTAGTATCGTCCTGAGTCCTCATCGAACTCCCACTTGAGCTCAGTCGAATCTCCTGGGATGGTATCATCGGTCCCTGCATCTAGTTTTGAAGGAATCTGTGAGTCACGGGGACTCAGCAATCTCATACCCTCGCGATCAAGACTATTTAAGCTTATAAGTAAGGTAAAAGGTATGAGGTGGAGCTGCAGCAAGCACTAGCATATATGGTGTCTAACATACGCAAATGAGAGCGAGAAGAGAAGGCAAGGCACGGTCGAGAAACTATGATCAGGAAGTGATCCTAGAACAACCTATGGTCAAGCATAACACGAGACTGTGTTCTCTTTCCGGACTCCGCCGAAAAGAGACCATCACGGCCACACACTCTGTTGATTCATTTTAATTAAGTTAAGTTTCAGGTTTTCTACAACCGGACATTAACAAATTCTCATCTGCCCATAACCGCGGGCACGGCTTTCAAAAGTTCAAAACCCTACAGGGGTGTCCCAACTTAGCCCATCACAAGCTCTCACGGTCAATGAAGGATATTCCTTCTCCCAAGACAACCCGATCAGACTCGGAATCCCGGTTAAAAAACATCTTGACAATGGTAAAACTAAACCAGCAAAGCCACCCGAATGTGCCGACAAATCCCGATAGGAGCTGCACATATCTCGTTCTCAGGGCACACCGGATGGGCAAGACGTCGGGTTGGCATAGACCCTTGTTGCCCAGGGGGCACCGGACATCGCCCAGTTTGGACCAACACTTAGAAAAGCACTGACCCGGGGGGTTAAAAATAAAGATGACCCTTGAGTCTGCGAAACCCAAGGGAAAAAAGGCTAGGTGGCAAATGGTAAAACCAAGGTTGGGCCTTGCTGGAGAAATTTTATTCAAGGCGAACTGTCAAGGGGTTCCAATTATAACCCAACCGTGTAAGGAACGCAAAATCAAGGAACATAACACCGGTATGACGGAAACTAGGGCGGCAAGAGTGGAACAAAACACCAGGCATAAGGTCGAGCCTTCCACCCTTTACCAAGTGTGTAGATGCATTAAAATAGACAAGATATAATAATGATATCCCAACAATAAACATGTTCCAACAAGGAACAAACTCCAATCTTCACCTGCAACTAGCAACGCTATAAGAGGGGCTGAGCAAGCGGTAACATAGCCAAACAACGGTTTGCTATGACAAGGTGGGTTATAGGTTTGACATGGAAATATGGGAGGCATGATAAGCAAGTGGTAGGTATCGTAGCATAGGCATAGCAAAAGAGCGAGCATCTAGCAAGCAAAGATAGAAGTGATTTTGAGGGTATGGTCATCTTGCCTGCAAAGTTCTCTGAGTTGACTTTAGCTTGATCCTCGTAAGCGTACTCAACGGGTTCCTCGATCACGTACTCGTCTCCCGGCTCTACCCAAAGCAAAAACACAAGCAAAGGGAGACACAATCAACCATGGTGCAATGCGCAAACAACATGATGCAAGACATGGCATGATATGCGGGATATGATATGCGATGCATATGCATGTTTTGGAAATGAAAGATTGAAACTGGCCTCAACTTGGAAAACCAAGAGTGCCACTGGAAAGATGAGTTGATTTCGGTCAAAATCGATATAAAGATCACCGGAATCGGATGCACGGTGTGCAAATGGCAATCAAAACAAATATGGCACCGATCTGCGATAACAGCACGAGGCCATCTAAATGCATCAAGAACAACAAGCTACTGCACTCTAACACAACACCAAAGTACATGGCAGGGATCCACTCAAGATTCTTGACAAAAGATAAACACTGAGCTATGGCTAATTCACTCAATAGCAGGTTCAAACAAGCATGGCAAAAGTGCAAAAGATAACAGGTTACAGACTTAGAGAAAATAACATGTCAGGAATTTAACATCAGGAAGCAATGTTTAGAACAAGATAAAAACATGCTACAGGAACATATCATGGCAAAGCAAGGCATGGCATGAAGCTACTCAAAGCATACTACAAAAGTCCCTTACTGACCATAAGCCAAAAGGGATCAGAAAATACAGTGGCAACCATGTGAACATAGCAATTTTCGTTAACAGATTCAGACTTAACATAAAACTGGAACATGGCAAAATAGATTCACGTAGGCATGTTTACAAGCTCGATGCACTCGCCACAAGGCATTGCTTAACAAACTAAGCATACACCCAGCAAGTAGACATGGTATAGAAGCTAAACATGGCAAGAACAACCTCATAGCATGCACGGATCAACTACAACAATCTCGGCAAAATTGCTTAACACGTAACAATCTGCCAAGAACATTTCATAGCAAAAGTAGAGCTCGATTGAGTCATGATAGGGTGCTCCATAATTTCAAAAAAGACATGGATGGATAGAGCATAACCATATCTCAAAATGATCCTTACTGAACATGCTCAAAAGAGACATGGATCACTCTGTAGCAACAAGAATACATGGCATAAAAATATTAACATGGCAAAAACTTAGAAGATTTCTAAATCCCTGAAATCAGCAACAATACGAGAGCTACTTTGCATGCTTGTGCTAGTCACCACAAAGATCACAAAATACATGGCATACACCCCTGTAAAGATGGCATGGCATACTTCAAAACACATGTAGGGCTCAAGTTCATAGGAGGCACACCTTAAACATGCCAAAAATGACAAAAGTCCAATCTCTGATAAAAAACTGAAACTAACATTACATAGTACTCTTGCAACAGCATTTAAGGCATCAATATGAACTCAAATGAACATGGTGCAATGGAATGAAATGAAGTACTCATCGAGGCGAACAATTTGATATGCTACACGCCCAAAACGAAGCCACGGATGCAAAGTTATGGCATGATGAAAAATGCTAAAAATTACTGGGACTTAGGGCAAAAATTAGGTCAACCCTCGAGTTCCAGATCTAGATCAGGCACGGTCTCTGAGGTTCGTCAGAGGGGGCTCGCCAGAGACGCACTGGAGTGGACGGAGGTGGCCGGAATGGACGGGACCGGCCGGATCTGGGGTCTGGGCGGCGCGGCGGCGAGGAAGGGGACCGCGGGCGCGGTCGCCGGCGCGGGTGGAGACGGCGCGGGCTCGCCGGAGCTGCTGCGGCGGCG